TTGACCCCACTCCATCACGGAAAGAGTAACTTGTAACAGATAAGCAAAAAAGAACACGCCTTTTGAAATTTATAAACAGAAATTTTAGAGATGTTGTTGGGCATAACATTTTTTAATTAATTCAATAACTGACATTTAAAAGTAAAGTAAAAAAAGTAAAATACAGATTTTTTAAACCTTACCCAATTTTTGTTAAACACCATCTTAGTTCTCTAGGTTACATAATTTCAGTTTAAAGAAAATTCCAGTTACCCACATCGATGTAGCCAATTACACTAGCACGGTTCCTATCTGCAGGCATTACACTGCTATTATTCACATATTGACATTATTAGCTGAACGATGTTTGATGGATAACTACAATGGCTGCCAACTAGAAATCAATATGCATTTGCTAACAAGCAATGTTTTATACAGGGTTGATGGAAAATATAATATATTAAAGATATTTTTGAAGCCATTTTTCAACGTTCTTTTATAATCAAGGTAAGTGATGTAATTTTTAAATTTCCTCAAGACTGTGGTTTTAGAAATTATCCCGATTACCCACAATAAAATACAAATATCAATCTCATCAGCTTTATAATAGAAGTACATAAAACAACTTTAAAATGTTGGATTCTCAAATGAATAACATTATGTATTCTCCCCACAGATTTAGGTTATCGTGACCACTTTATAACTCAAGTACACAAGTAACACATGTAACTGATGTATCCTATCCGGGTGAGGAATTTACGGCCTCATTTGAGACAGGTTAAAACACTAATATGATGATAGTTATAAGTTGCGGGTAGTCAAACTTTGAGATCCAAAAGAAAGGTAAATAAGAAAGGAAAATCCAAGAAAATCGAACATCCTACCACATTTTCGAACCAGATTTCACTTTTTCTTATGAACTTCAATTGAACAAAAACTTTGCCTGTTCATCTCAAGTTTTAAAAAGGCCTTAATATTTAAAATAAATCAAAGCAATTGTTGGGTACTTTTTCTCGTATTTTCAAAACCCATATCATTTTCAAAAGCTGTTTACTGCATTACTTTCAGCACCAAAAGATTTTGCCTCACCTAAGTTTTTTGGTCGCATTTAGTGCTTTAGTTGCATCTCCAACTGCTTTTGTCTAGTGTCTATGTATAACTCTTCTGTAGAAAAACGATTACAAGTTTTAGCTGTGAGCTGCTTAGAAACCAGAGAAAGCACGCTTTAAGAGTAAACTGAATTGAACAGAAAAAAAAGTTCCATTCTCTACGCCCTAACTTCATCTTTAGATCAGCATCCAAGATGCCAAATTATAGTTTTGTCATACTAACCACATATGCATACAGTTCACTTTGATAGACTCAGATTGAAATTGACTTCTGTCATTAATTTACAGTACCTATTTTATGCGAAGCTAATAAAAGTATGCCAATATTACGACAGGTCTTAAAAGAAACCAAAGCAATGGAACTCGACTTTGAGGTAAACTGAATTCGTTCGTGATATTATGTAGTTTATATAATATTTATGGTGCGACGGGCTTATGGCTAAGTATTTAACACATTGCATAGTTAAGCAATCCTAGCCAGGTCAGTCTATAGATGGGTGACCATTCTTAAAACTTTGAGACCTTGGTCCCGGTTGCCATACGAACATTGGCAATCGTAACGGGTAGTTGGAGCCCTACAAAGTCCGACAACAGTCTTTCTACAGAACTTCGACATCACCTTAGTACTTGGGGTGTGGAGGTGTGATGGCAGGCGCTCCGCGTAAAAAATCGAAATTCAGCCGTATCGTAGCCGACCCCAGCTTATTTTGAGCGAAAATTCTTCCGAAGAAGACATATTATTCATTATTAACATAACTTTTATAATTGTAGGAGTAATCCTACACTACTAATACTAAAAGTTATGATAGTTTTTTTTTTTTTACATAGGTATTTTTTATTTAAAGTACCACATTGTTGACCTGAATAACTATGTACGAATATTAAAATGGATGAACCATTTAAGGCCTACCTACTCATTTGTTTTGTTAAAGGATTACTCACGTGGACCCTTAGTGATGCTTTCCCCGCTCGACTTATGTTTAGTTTATGAAAGATACATTATGACTTGTTAAATGCTTGATAGCAATGATTAGAAACCTGTTATTGAGGTGGTTAGTTTAGTTGGAAGAAATATTATAACTTATATTAATATTTTGAAGTAGTCACTAAGCCCGTGTACTTATCCACAGTATAATGTTAAAGATGTACAATCCCATTAGCCACCGTTGCACACAGTTTGAAAACACGGGCATAAAAGGTGTTCTTAGAGTACCTAATCGTACTTTTGATATATCTTCATTACGGCCATCTTAGCCCAAACTAGATAGAGCCTATACTATGCCAGCTAGATAAACAAATGATACTTAATACATGCTTATTATTATAGATAAACTAGCTTTTACCCGCGACTTCGTCCGCTATTCTTCACTATAGGAAAATTTGAGTAAAAAAAGTTAGACAATTAAAGTTTATTATTTTTAAACTCCGTCTTAGTCTTGTATAAATGGAATAGACATAAAAATATGTATTTTGTTCGATTGCCCTATCCATGAGTTCGTGCCTCCAGATATCCCCTGGGGCGTTATCCATCCGTTGTCTTCCTACAGAGCCGCCTGGCGGTTGACTCAAAGGAATAACCCACACTATCCAGACATAAGCTTCGTATGTTATATATTGTAGCGAAATTGTGCGCAATGTTATGTTTATATTAAGAAGTATATGTTTTTGTTTATAAATATTTTTGGTTTGTTTTTATCAGAGTTCTTAAAGAAATCTTGATGTTTTTTTTTTATATACTGTTATAATTCACGGCATTTTAAGTGATATAAAGGGGTGGAGTTGGGTCTCGAGTAACCTCTTTCACTACGCGAAAAGAAACAGAAGCTGCTTCTGCAGACTGCTAAGCACCGGTTTTTTGTGTTCCAAAAGCATGAGTTGAGTGTAGCCGGCCCGTTATAAACATTGCAATAATAAAAATTAACAAAAACAAAACAGTGGCACTCCGGGAGTGCCGACAGAAGTGAAAACTTGAAAAATATTTGTTTTTTGATTATAACAGGATTTTTTGTTTTTTTTTTATTTGAAAATTTCAGTATAAACACAATATATGTTTATTTTATATATGGTTATATCATCAATGTATTTTAACCCAAACTCAACTTTCGTGTAAACGGGGCCAATATATGTACTTATATACAGAAGTGTCGGTAACGGTAACGGAAATTTTCACATCAAAAATATTTCTCTGAATTTGTAGGAATCTAGATTTGGCAGAATATTCATGTGCTTTTTTTAACCAGTATATATCATTGTGTTTAATATTAACTCTTATATGAGACATAAATGAAATAGAAAATACACAGCGCTTGTTGTCAAGAAACATATTTCTTGTAATAAACCTAAGTTTACAAACTCCTTTAATACGGAAACGAAGGGCACAACATAACGAAGTAGAACTACATCGAGGATAATTACTACAAAAATAGCCCGAAGCAGTCTAAACCAGTTGGAAAATCCACTAACATAATAATTAAAAGTTTTCACAATTTACCATGGGTAGTTCGTTTTACAACTCAATTTCACCGAAACAGACACCAAACATTTCATGGCAGACATAAAGTACTCTGAAAGTACTTCAGCGCCCTTAAATAGACCCAGTCTACATTAGGCAAAATGTATTTGTTTTATTGTGTGCCAGAACATAATTTACGCTATCATAATATTCACGTATCTTTGTATGTATATGTCTACGTACTTATTTTCGCTTTCTTTACATAGATACATACGTTATTATGTATGTATGTGTTCTTCACATAATACTCTCCTATATTCTGCATCTACTCTCACTCAATTCTATATTATCTAAGGTAGACATGAAGAGGATGTTTTTAGCATGCAGTCGACCTCTGTATCATTGCATTCTCAATATCAGTTTTCTTTAATTTTAAAATAATTTCAAATTATTTAGATGCAAAATAACTTAAAATTATATGAAATAGATGGTGAAAAGTTTCGTTTAAAATCTGTTAATTTATTTAGAATTTGGCAACATTTCAGTAATATAATAATTGTCATAATTTTAATTACATTAAATAAATTTAAAATTGGTTGTGAGAGTGTGAGCTTATAATGTTGCTTAAATAAATAAATAAAAAGTTATAAATTTTATCTGAATGATATTAACAACAATTTTTACAGTTTAAATTTGGATGTTAGCATATAATGAGCCACAAATCACACGCTAACTTTAGCAAATCCTTACTTTCGATAATAAACTTGAAGTTAGCTATTACATCCGTGAGTGTAACTCACTGGTGCTATCCCTTTTCAGTCAGAAAGTACTAAATAGAAGCTTGATAGACTTTGTGAAGTCATTTAACTGGGAAATGGGCGAGTTTATAAACAAAGTTTGTGAAGGGATGTTTTTAAAAACCCATGGGCTCAGTCAAATTCAAAGTATTGATCACAGTGTGATAGTACCTCAACTAACCCTAGCCTGAGTAAAGAAGTTTTCAGCTATTAAACACTTAGCCAGCTCCCCTCTCTGTGGGGGAGGTCTAACGCCCCTCCAGATTCCGTATTTATGTGAAGTTTTATAATTACGTGATTGTAGCACTATCACAACAGGTTATTGCCATTATTAATTTTTGGGAAATGAGTAAATTATTTAAAAATACTTTGGCGTGTAAGAAAATAGTCTATTATTTTTACTATTTCAGTGTAACTTCGTGCTACTGTAAGGATACACATTTTGAAATATGTTTATTTTAAAGTCCCAATGTAAAAATAATTTATTTCAACACAAATTACTGCATTAAGTTATTCATATAGAAAAAAGAAAAAAATATAAGTAGGTATACCGCCTAAGTAAAATCAATATTAAGTCAGAAGACTTAATATTGATTTTACTAAGAAATAAGAATATTTCTTCTTCTGAAATTAAGAGTACGTACATAAAAAATGTCAACTTACCTCTTGGTCCAGAGCTGACTTGGCACTGATATGACGCATCGTCATCTATCGTCACCTCCCTTATATCTAATGAATAGTCCCCTGAAAAAAATAATTGAAATAAAAAATCAACACACTCTTTTATTCTCCACACAAAACAAAAGCATTGTAAAAACCGTTAAATATATAGGATACTACCGGCTCGGGCACGCCGTCATTGCGGCGGTAAGACCCGTTATGGAGGATTGGCTCGAGAGGCGTCACGGGACCCTCTCATACCGATTGACGCAGGTGATCACTGGGAAGGGATGTTTCGGAGATCACCTGTGTCTGATCCGCAAGGAGCCAACGCCTGAGTGCCACCACTGCGATGGCCAGACCGTGGACACGGCTCTCCACACGCTGGCAGAGTGCCCGGCGTGGGTTGAGCAGAGGCGAGACCTCGTGGCGGCCATCGGAGTGGGAGTTCTCTCGCTCGATAGCCTGATTGCGGCTATCGTGCGGAGCGAGAGTGCGTGGAACTCTGCCGTCTCCTTCTGCGAGCAAGTTATGCTCGCGAAGGAGACGGCGGAGCGGGACCGGGAGAGGTTTAGAACTCTCCCGGCCCGCCAGGCCCGGGCACGGGCCAGGCAGCGCAGGCGACTCAGGCGCCGGAGGTCGCAGAACGACCTCCGTCCTCCATAAGCGCAGGCCTGGGGGTGACAGGTGAGGCCATCTGTCACCCTAGCAGAAGCAGGCCGGGGTGGCGGCGAGCGCGTTGCGAAGCGCGCTCGCTTTCAGGGAGCACAGGGAACATGGGGTTCCCACACGGGGCGGGGGTCGTCTACTCGTCTGTAGATGACCCGAGGTATGTCGGGGCACCAGGGCCTTCCTTTCTAGGGTATACCTGGTTCCCCGGCTATTAGTACCCGGCGAAGGCGTGCGGTTTTAGTCGGTTCGAGTCCGACATGCCACCGACAGGTGGTATCCGAGGGGATTTCCGCACGGAAAAAAAAAAAAAAAAAAAAAAAAGGATACTACCGGCTATTACTATTACTGCATTTACTACCACGAGACCTAGAATACTATTTTTATTTAAAAAGGTAGTCTTGACTTAATCGTATAGTAATTTCAAATATTGGATATAAGAAGTCTAATACAAAAAGTCCCAAGACAATTCCTGTAGTATAAACATATTCTGCAGGAATCGCATTGTTATTACCAGTAGCATAAGGCTATTTCTTTCTCTGATAGGGTTATTAGCCAAAAAATACACCCTAAGACAAGTTAATACATATAGTTTTATAAATTTGTCTTTAATATTTATTTATTAGTTTAATTTTTTTTTGATAAGTTTATTTTATTCTTTATGACACTTAAACTACACGTGTATGCCATTTTTAGTAGGTATAACCGGTTGAAAATAACTGCTCTAAAATTCAGTTGCAAGATTAAACCCGAACAGAAATCCATACAAATATTACACGTTAAATAAAAATCGACTCTACTATTTATAATATACGATAGCGTCTTGGTTTCTACTTGGTTATGTTGTATTTATAACATTAAGACGGCTTTTCACTTGTTAATTTACGGTATCTGTACATTTTGTTGTCTTGCAAACCATAAACTATTTTAAACCTCCCATACGTTTCGTAACATAATATTTGTTATGAATATAACAGATTAAAATATATCACCTTCTTCATCACTGCCTATCATCTTGTATCGTTCGTAGCCAGTGAGATGACGATGTGTGCCGAGACCGAAGTCATCCTTCGTCCATTGCAGCTGCCCAGCCTTGTTTTCGACTCGACACGGTAAGGTTACCCTTGATCCCACTACTGCACTCTAGTTAAAAAATAATTAAATAAATTAGTAGATGTATTTTAGGTTTTCTTATTCTATCTCAATGCTTAAAAGGTCATACAAACCATTACATAATTCAATATAAGCTCAATTTTAATAAAATAACTCAAAACAATTTTCGACTATAATTATGACATCTTTTGTGCAATAAATGTAAAGCATTTTTGGTTAATTTTAAAGCAACTACATCAGAATATTGGCTTTATGCAAAATATTTGTTTATTAAATTCGGTTTATAAATTACCAGTGGATACTTTCTGAATGTGCCATATCGTACATTGACAAGGTACATAAAAGGAATGTTTTTTCTATGCTCACGGTAAAACGACCATAGTTAGAAATGACAGTTTCTAATTTATGATATATTTTTTTTGTTGACGGGATGAAAAATCACTTCGGATCTCCCGCTCCTTGTAGGAGCCAAGAGCATGTGGTGTTTCCACTAAAAACCCCTACGGTCGGACTCAGGCGCCCTCCTCCTAGGAGAACCCGGATCATGTTATTTCAGGTCCCCCTTGATCGACGCCGCGCCTAGTAAGCGACGTGCTTCCCCTGCCTATCGGCCCATCTGCCACCAGAGGTCCCCACTCTCTGGCAGTATGCGGCCCCGTCGCCGGCTGGTATCGCCGCCGACGTCCTCTACGCTCGGGATGGGCCCTCTCCCGATTACGTTCAGCGGTCTTTTTCTGAAGCATTATAGTTTCACAGAAAGAGACCATTCTAATTTATGATTATAAATTATTAAAGCTTCAAAATCATGTATTGGATGAAGACCTCTGTTTTACGGATTAATCAACGGGACCATACCTTACTGAGACAGTATACGCTATTTTATATTACGTGATTACGGAAATTTCCCTTGCATAGTTTATAATTTATGTTATTATGATCGAAAATTAAAAAATCTTGACGTAAGCAAATATTAGATATGTAAATCTATATCAATATAGAAATGGACTGAACAGGCAAAAATATTAACAATAACATCGTTGATAGACATCATCATTAACAGCCTTTACTAGTGTACTGCTGGACAGAAGCCTCTCCTTAGAAAGGAGGTTTTGGGCTAGTATACCACGCTGGCCAGACGGGTTCGTAGATAGTCAAGAGACGGGAATAGAAAACTTTCTTGTCAAAGTAAAGAGCTTGAGTAAAAAACCACAAAAGACAATGCAAAGATAATTTCTAGCAACGCGGAAGAAGTTACTTGAACGAAATAGTGTTAGAATTTTATATTTCAAGTTTCTACTTGTTATCACTGAGGACTCAAGGGAGCGTAATATACAACTTACTTCCAAAGTAACAATGTTATAAACAAATAAAGAAGACGACACAAATTTAATGGGAATGACGTTTACGAGAATTCATAAAAATAAAATGGTTCAAAACATGTATCCAGACTTTTACAGCAGACAGCGAATGAATATAGAAATATTTTAGACACAGATTTAACAAGATGCTAGGATACTTGGAGTAATATATATTTGTTCAAAAGGTCTTGGTTTTAAAGTATTTGAAAGGCAAAGATAAATGTTGGTACTCCCCATTTTAGTGTTGTATATACAATGTTGGCACTACCTATACAGCACGGAACTTATACATATGAACCGTTTGATGGACTGAACCTAGTCTATGATAGATTGACTTCAAAATACTAAACGAAATAAACACATAAGTATTACGGATCGAAAAAACTTCGTAAAGTAATTGCCAATTGTTTGGTAAAAACGAGGTGTTTGCCTTTAAATGTCTTGAATTATGCTCACTGTTATTTCACGAGCAGCGAATCCCATTTCCACACTGACATATTCATACCAATTCACCGGTAGGCAGACAAAGAAAAATTTCGTTATTTCAAAAATTACTTCACATTTTCGCAACATTAATTTAGGTTCCGTTCCGTAAATCAAATATTCCCCCGTGAAATCCTTGGAGCAGTAGACGTAGCCCGATATTATTCTTTACGTAAGTAAGCACTCAGTTGACGTAGAAAAGGCTTGTATTGAATATCTGGTGATATTAAAAATTCCTATCCTACGTCCCCTCCGGTTTAAACGGATGTTTTAATAAATGACAAACCTTTTTGAGCCATTTCTATCTGAAACTCACTATTCTGTTTATGTATGGCATAGTAAGTCTTTTATTTAAATAATTTTATAAAAGATATATACATTTTTGTGAACAAAATGCTCACATTTGTTTAAATTTGAGCTCGTAATATTGTAACAAGAAAGTACATTAAAAAGTGTTTGTGACTGTTCTTTGCTATAGAATACTTACAGAACGTATGCATACGTACGAACGTAGAATACGTGTTTTGAACAAGCAACTAACTTTACGACTGACTTAGTCTGACAGTCTTCTACTTCCAATAGTTAAAAACCTTTAATTGGTTTAACTGAAATTTAAAAAAAAATCGGGAGACCAATGTTAAATAATTCACGTACTCATATTTAATCTACATAAATACATAAAATATTTACTTAATTAAATCACCACTATTTATAAATTTATGTATGAATTTACAAAAAAATATACATACATATACAATGATACAGACACCGGATTAAGAATACGTAATGTCACCACTCCTATTCATCCCGTGGGGTGTCGTAAAAGTCGACTTAAGTAGAAAACTACGCAAGACAACAGCACTGCAAAGAGAAGGAAATCTTGAAACAAACCCAATACCAACCCGTCTGGCCAGCGTGGTATAGTAGGCCAAAGCCTCCTTTCAGAGGAGAGGCCTATGTCCAGCAGTGGACTATCATAGGCTGTTGATGTGATGATGATGTGATTCATAGAACAAAGCCATTATGCACAACAATTCGAGTTGAATTCTCAATAAAGTTACGATAAATACAACCACTATCATAGGTATAACTTAGTCCCGATGCATTTTGTTTGGACAATAATTTTCATTTGTTGAACATCAATGGCTGATAATGAGTATTGAATTAATTGAAAATTTACGAAATTTGTGCGGTAAAACTAGATTGAAATTAAATTAGTGATCATTATACTATATGACCTACTGATGATATTTATCTATACAGATATATAGTAGGGAACTTGAAAGATTTTATTGTTTTAGTGAAATTAAAAAAGTCCTATTAAAATGATGTAAAAGTTTGTTACTTCCATTAGTGGTTTATTAAAAGGGCACTGTCATCATTAAGGAGTTTTTTGCATTTTCTAATATAACGAGTATTATAATACGATGTCCAACGTAGGTTGATAAACAACAAAGATTAAAAATTATATTAAACATCTTACCTGGTCTTGTGGTTCGATTGCAAATCTCTGTTCCTTGTATGCACTTACACAACTAATCCAAACCAAGAATAACATCCAATGTTTCACTACAATCTTAAATTCTCTTGATATCCTTAACAATAAAAACAATGCATTAGCACTTCTACTTGTTAACCGAGATCTATGTTTTATACTTGCAAACGCTTCACATAAATCATTTTTTTCATCAGTACTAATCATGTTTAGATTTTGGCTATATTTTACATCAGTTTTTGTTTTGTTACTATTATTAGTACTGACGTCATCATTAAGATTAACATGTATTTTATTATTTGATTTACAGGACTCGTGAGTTCCCATTTTAGGCAAGTGTGCAATACACGTTCAGCCATATGTTGACAGTTAATTTCTATTGTAATGTTCCGCAATATTAATGAACTGTAGTCCGTTGATCAGCATCTGTAACAAAGAAAATAACTGTTAGATTATTTTATTATCTTTTATTTAAACAAAGATAAATGTTTTACTTCGTATCAAAAAATTAAAATTCAAAGATACCTATATCTTTATGCTCTTTTCCCAATTTAATTGGACATTTGAGCATTTTTTGCAAAAGATTTTAGCCTATTTATTTTATTGCCGGCCGCTTGCTTGAGGACTACTCTGATATGAAATGTAATGGTATTTTAAAAGGACAAAATATGATAGTAGATTAAGTTAAGAATAAAGAGAAGAATCTAAGATAAGGATATTGGAAGTCTTGCAGTAGTCTGAATGGTTTGCTGAACCAAAATTAATGTAGTAGGCTACTGGAACAGGATCTTCTTAGCGTGTCGATGACAATTCAAATTGAGTCGGCCCAAAATTTGGCGACGAGTACGGCACTTTCAGTAGCCTCCATCAGTTCCTGTGATGTGCAAGTAACAGGACAGGCTGGACACGATATCAAGTGCCCCATAGTTTGTGGGGCAAGACCACACTTACACTCCAGGGCAGAGTCATCTATGAATCTCCACCTGAACAGGTTTTCTTTGCTTCGGCTTACCTGTGTCCGGAGTCTGTTTAGAGACTTCCAGTTAAGCCATGGCAACTCGTGTCCAGGTGGAAGATTTTCGGCAAGTGGCACAAATGGGTTGGGTAAGGAAACGCTATCTTGCCACAACAGAACAGAACAGGATTATAAATAAAATATATAGGTTCGATCGTAGTTACAATATGGCATACATTTTATGTCAGTGAATTAATACTAAGCCCGACAAAAAATTATTGCGACTTTAGTCAAAAAAAAGGAATCAAAATATGCTAAGTTTATGCGCAAGTGTCAGACCTGACAAGGACGTCACTGTAATTTATTCTGTTTTAATTATAACCTAAATTACAGTCAAGGTTAAAACCTGAATAAAGTTTTGCAACTTTATTTCATACATAATAATTACTTTTACCCCAAAAGTGACATAGCATAAGAATATGCCTAATAAAATTTATAATGAACTAAAAAAATCACAACTTGCAATATATTAGGTAAAATTTAACTTATATTGTTTTACACATTTTCATCATTATCTTTTGCCTTTTTTTTGTTTGGGGTAGACGCAATGCGTTTTATTTTCCATTCGAGGCTTTATAAAGCGCAGGCATTGAAAACTCGATGCTATTTTTCGAAATTGGCACTTTCATCATTTACAAAATGCAACGAACACAATTCTAACTTGAAGTGCGATAAGCATTAGATCTACTTATCGTACTTCAAAAAACCCTTTAAGTTAAAGTTTAAGAAATGTCAAATTATCAATGTCTATTTTAGAGAAGAGAAGTTTTGACGTCAAAAGCAAAATTTAGATCATAAATTTTCAACACTAAAACACGATATGAAATATGTTGGTAATTGAAAGAAATTTAGTTTCCGCGTTGCTTAAACTTAAGTCCATAAACATAAATAACTAGAAGTTAGTGGTACGCTTTCAAAATTCTGTTCGGAATACGATAGCATAAACATGTCTTAACCGTGCTCTATTATAGAAAGGGATGTTATGAATAAATCATCTTGGAGCATTGCAAAAGACGGCAATTTCTGCTGCACCGGTTTATAGTCCTCGCAAGGAAGGAAGATAGATATATATTATGTACAGTCTTACTAAAGGTTTCTGAGTCGCCATGTTTTCGACAGGTACTCGTTCATAACTCATTAATACAATTGACGTTTTAGGATACTAGAGACAATTAACCACGCTTCCTAAGAATAAACTGAGAAGCTAATGTAAAATAAAAAAATAATATTTTTTTGTTTTCCTTTCCCATTAAAACATATTTTATTTCTTTACGCTACTTTATAATATTTTCTAAAACCACTCCGCTAGTCTTTTTTAAACGATTTATCATAACACGAAAGAAAGTCTGAAATTAACTGCTTTATTCTATTTTTCTAGATAGTTATATTGTTGGAATATTCAGGAGTAGAGTTGATAAGTTTACCTTAAATAGGCGTATACCAACTTCGTCTTTCTATACTTTTTTTACTTTGTCATCAGGTTAAAATTTGTCTAAATTCTTTTTTTTTCAATGTACTTGACAGTGGTACCGTTTTTTCTAAGACTAACGCTTATTTAACAGAATCGCGTAACACTCTCCTTCAATCCTAAGATAATCTTCTTCTTTCTTTCTTATTTATCTATCAACATCGAGACTTTAACAATTTACGTACATAAATCAAAATTGGTAAATAATTAATCATAGTAAATATAGTAAGTGCATAGTATTGTACTTTAATTAACATTGAATTCCAATGTGTTTAAGTTTTTTTTATCTGTCAAAACTGCTTCTGGTAACTCGTTACCGAGCGCTTTTGGAAGTGGTAATGCTGCAATCGAGTCTTTCATGGGTGTCTATGGCCAGAGACCTGGACCTGTATAAGCAGCTAACAAAAGAGAGATATGTTATAAGGACAGGTAGTCAAGTATATCCATTCTCTCTCTCTTTCGTAGTCATGACTTCATGACGCGTAATCCGTCGGTAAAAGTAAGGCGAGCGCATAACTTACACATAACTTTTATCTAAAATGTTTTTGGAAAAAGGAACTTACACCAACGGGTTTACTTCATGCCACTTGAAAATTTTATTGGCTAATTAACCACTCTTGAATTTCCATTTTTTAAAGGATGACTCTGAACTTTCATACTTATATAAAAATATGAAAGTGTGTGTTACGCTTTCACGACTGAACCACTAAACCGATTTTTAAAATTATTTCATCAATGGAAAGATATATTATAAGTAAGTAACATGGGCTAGTTTTTACCGCAATAACCAACATACACGGAATGGATTATTATAATAATACAATTAAAAATCATTCACTCAATCATTAAAATCGAAAACAGAAAACAATATAGTTATACCAAGCCATTTTCCGTATGATAGTTATAAGACAAGTTTTCTAAAGAGATGGAGTTTCTCACAGGTGGGGTAATTATGAATTAACAAGTAGTTGAACAAAGCAAATTACAATCCGTCGGGCTGGCAGAAGCCTTAAAGATTTTGATGAGATGGCACATTGCTAAAACTAGGAGAACATTCAAAAAGATAATTCTCATAAAGAACAAAGCTGTACCGTCTTAAGTTTTGCGTAGTGAGATACGGGAAGGAAGTTTTGAAAGCAAAAGTTGTTAATTTCAATAGAATGTTCTTGTTCTATATAATCCACCGTTTATGAATAAGGTTTCACTTGAAATATATTCATACTAGACAATCGTAAACTTTAGTTAGTTGTGAGTTATTAAATCCATATTTATAAAAGAAGGAACTGACAGATTGATTCACTAACTGATCAATTAACGCTCAGCTGAAACTGCAATGTCTAGAAGCATGAAATTTTGCACAAATGTTCCTTAGGTGATGTAGTTGTGCACTAAGAAAGATTTTTTTTAAATTCTACCCCTAAGGGTGCAAATAGGGTGTGTATTTATATTTTTCTAACTTGTTTATTTTTGGTAGTAACGTTTTCAAATTCACAGTAAACACTTTTTATTAAAAGCAATAAAACGGTTGTTACTAATTTGTGAAAACTACCCTCAATTAGTTTGTATGGGGAACTATTTTTTTGAACTTATCCATTCCGAACTCAGTATAATTACTATGATGTCTGATGTCGACCACCACGCGGACGAAGTCGTGGGCAAAGGCTACTAAACTTATAATACATAAACTTTCCTTTTTATTTGTACGTGTGGAAACCTCCTCGGGTTGTCACCACATCAGAGTTTATTTTATTTTGGGTTGCGGATATTTGGGAATCAAACTGATTATAATTATATGGGGTCCGGTACTGCTCCAAACACAGGAGGAACCCGCTAACAGCTTTTATATGAAGCCATTATTTGGACGCTAAAACAAAAACGGAAAACCTTCCAAGTGCGTATCGCTTGGTAGTAAGTGACTACGTGCGCTCATGCTACCTGCAGTAGAGTTATAAGTGCATTGTCGACCGTTGATGTCGGAATACGCTCTTATCTTGAAGGCTAGGACTGTCTTTGGTCCAGAAAGATCTCATGCGACAATTTATGCTTATTTGTTCTATTGAAAAGCGCAGAGTGGTGAAGAGCCAATTATCAAAAAATGAGAATTCATTTGACACGTTGAATAATGACGAAAAGCTATGGCCGAAAGTCCCTAAACTCATCAGAGCACTTTAATGTTTATTTTAGTTCGCCAAGTTTTATAGCTGTAAGTCTTACCACCACTGTCTTAACTAGATCTTGGCATAATCTCTAAAGAGTATCTAGGCTTCTGTCCGTAGGTTCTTTGAATAGTTTTAGGTAATTTAGCGCTACAGTACGAAGCTCAATTAAATTATACGGAGTTCACAATTTGCATAGGTAATATTCATGAATAAAATATTATGAATATTCATGTAACAGTTTGAAGGTGAAATGAGTTTTTCCATGACATAACATAAACTAAGAAAAAACTATTTCTTAGTTTATGTTAAAGTTTAATCCGTGACTCCGTTAGCGTTACTTTATACTTTTTCAGTAATAATTAAGTAATATGTTTGGAGGGGCTCGCGGCTAAGTGGTGACCGAGTAGCTAAACTTTGCAATGTTAATGCATTGCAAAGTTAAGCAATCCTAGCCAGTTCTGTCATGGATGGGTGACCATTCTTAACACAATGAGACCTTCCGGTTGCCATATAAACATCTGTGGCAATTGTTACGGGTAGTTGGAGCCCTAAAATGTCCGACAAC